AGCATAAGCATATTCTTAATAGGGAAAATGAACACCAAGGCTCTGGCAGCAGGCAGGATGAGCATAGGTGCCAACTGGTTGGAAGCTTGTAAGAAAACAGTGACTGCCAAGAACACTTGGAAACCTGGAAGGACTGTGTTTTAGTCCATTCTTTCACTGCTATAAATATACTACCTGAGACTGGGTAATTTAAAAAGAAAGGATGTTTAATTGATTCACGGTTTTGCATGGCTGGGGAGGCCTCAGGAAACTTACAATCATGGCAGAAAGTGAAGGGGAAGCAAAGCATGTCTTACATGGCAGCAGGAGAGAGAGAGAGAGCACATACAGGGGAAAGTGCCACTTTTAAGCCATCAGATCTCATGAGAACTCCCTCACTATCATGAGAAGAGCACGGGGAACCACCCCCATGATCCAATCACCTCTCACCAGGTCACTCCCTCAACAGATGGGGATTACAACTTGAGGTGAGGTTTGGGTGGAGACACAGAGCCACACCACATCAGATTGCTTGCTAAGGGAAGTTGAAGTCAGAAACAGCCACTGTCACTGAGGGAAGAGGGAGCTCCTGGCCCAACTAATCAAATCACATAGCTCTAAATCTCTAACGCAACTCACGAGACTAATCGTATGGCTTGTCTCCACAACAGGATATAGGTAAAGACTTTAAAAACCATGTGTACTTTACAAATGTTTGTAAATGTCATCATTCATGAATTACACTGACTTTCTTCTACATTTAAAACTGGTACTTGGAACTAGCCACTAAAGAGACAAAAAACAAATGAGGTTTGGAGATAAACATACCTTGTTACTTCCAAACTCTACTCTCTATACTCTGGGACTTAGAAGCTTAATAATGTTAAGCTTATGTTAATTACTGTTAACCTTTTTGGTTCATTAACTTATTTGAGAAAAATGCAAGCTATTCACTCTCAACCCTAGAAAAATCGATATATATGTGTGCAAATCCAAAAACTGCATATAATTCCAAGGGATTCCAAGCAGACTTCAAGTTAAAATCCTGTGAGATAGATTACCAGCTCCCTTCTGCCATGAGAAAAATGGGTCTTAAAGGAGTCAACAAATATTCTTAAAGTAGGGAAATGATTAACAGAAATGCAAACCCAGATCCTCTGAATCCAAATGCAATTCTTTTCCTATGATCTACAGAGTTATTTCAGTTGTCCACAAACATACATTCACCTGTAGCTTGGGCTCTGATGCCTCACTTCTCAGGGTGCTTTAGAAAGGTGGGAGTCACTTACAGGCATCCACATTGCCCTTTTCACTTTCTATGATGGTACAATTAGACAAATTCTTGCCATTGGTCTATTGCTCCTTAAAATATTTAAGTTTATTCTACGTGCTTGGCACTATAAGCTTCAGGGATAAGGAGCTGAAATATGTATGGCCATTGCAAGCATAAAGCTTATAATCTAGTTTGCAACCTCTCCTCTGAAAAGCAGAAAACCCTTGCAATGATCATTTCTATACAGTCTAAATATTATAAGAAATGTATAAAATATTCACCACCACTTTTAATACTCAAATATATATGTGCATGCATGTATATGTCTGTAAGTGTATTTACATAAGATATATAACCAGCTTTGAGTTGGTTCATTGGCATATATACCTTATCTTAAAGGAGATTGTTGATAATTAATGGCAAGATGTGATTGATGATTTATGAGTTGGTTCGATAATTTTTTAACTCTCAAAAAGTAAACTACAGTTGACTCTTGAACAATGCAGAAGTTAGGGGCACCAACCCCCATGCAGTCAAAAATCCACATATAACTTTTGACTTCCCAAAAATTTAACTACCAATAGCCTACTGTTCACCAGAAGCCTTCCCAATAACATAAACAGTCAATTAATGCATATTTTGTATATTATATACTGTATTAGTTTCACATTGCTGATGCAGACATACCTGAGACTGGGAAGAAAAAGAGATTTAATTGGACTTACAGTTCTACATGGCTGGAGAGGCCTCAGAATCATGGTGGGAGGCCAAAGGCACTTCTTACATCGTGGCACAAAGAGAAAATGAGGAAAAAGCAAAAGTGGAAACCCCTGATAAACCCAACAGATCTCATGAGACTTATTCACTATCATGAGAATAGCAGGGGAAAGACTGGCCCCCATGATTCAATTACCTACCCCTGGGTCCCTCCCACAGCACATGGGAATTCCAGGAGACACAATTCAAGTTGAGACGGGGACACAGCCAAACCATATCATTCCGCCCCTGGCCCCTTCAAATCTCATGTCCTCACATTTCAAAACCAATTATACCTTCCCAACAGTCCCCCAAAGTCTTAACTCATTTCAGCATTAACCCAAAAGTCCACAGTCCAAAGTCTCATCTGAGACAAGGCAAGTCCCTTCCACCTATGAGCTTGTAAAATCAAAAGCAAGTTAGTTACTTCCTAGATACAGTGGGGAGGGGGTGGGTACAGACATTGGGTAAATACAGCTGTTCCAAATGGGAGAAATTGGCCAAACTAAAGGGGTTACAGGGCCCACGCAAGTCCAAAATCCAGCGAGGCAGTCAAATTTTAAAGCTCCAAAATGATCTCCTTTGACTCCAGGTCTCACATCCAGATCATGCTGATGCAAGAGGTGGGTTCCCATGGTCTTGGGCAGCTCCACCCCTGTGGCTTTGCAGGGTACAGCCTCCCTCCCAGATGCTTTCACAGGCTGGTGTTGAGTGTCTTCAGCTTTTCCAGGCACACAGTGCAAACTGTCAGTGGATTTACCACTCTGGGGTCTGGAGGACAGTGGGCCTCTTCTCACAGCTCCACTAGGCAGTGCCCCAGTAGGGACTCTGTATGGGAGCTCTGACCCCACAATTCCTTTCTGCACTGCCCTAGCAGAGGCTCTCCATGAGGGCCCCACCACTGAAGCAAACTTTTGCCTGAGCATGCAGGCACTTCCATACATCTTCTGAAATCTAGACAGAGGTTCCCAAACCTCAATTCTTGACTTCTGTGCACCCACAGGCTCAACACCACATGGAAGCTGTCAAGGTTTGGACCTTCTACCCTCTGAAGCCACAGCCCAATCTGTACATTAGCCCCTTTCAGCCATGGCTGGAGCATCTGAAGCACAGGGCATCAAGTCCCTAGGCTGCACACAGCACAGGGACCCTGGATCCAGCCCATGAAACCACTTTTTCCTCCTGGACCTCAAGGCCTATAATGGGAAGAGCTGCCATGAGGGTCTCTGACACAGCCTGGAGACATTTTCCCCATTGTCTTGGAGATTAACATTAGGCTCCTTGCTTCTTATGCAAATTTCTGCAGCCAACTTGAATTTCTCCTCAAAAAATGGGTTTTTCTTTTCCACTGCATCATCAGGCTGCAAATTTTCTGTAATTTTATTTTGTTTCCCTTTTAAAATGTAATGCTTTTAACAGTACCTAAGTCACTTCTCGAATGCTTTTCTGCTTAGAAATTTCTTCTACCAGATACCCTAAATCATCTTTCTCAAGTTCAAAGTTCCACAAATCTCTAAAGCAGGGGCAAAATGCTGCCAGTCTCTGCTAAAACATAACGAGTCACCTTTGCTTTAGGTCCCAACAAGTTCCTCATCTCCATCTGAGACCACCTCAGCCTGGACCTTATTGTTCATATCACTATCAGCATTTTTGTCAAAGCCATTCAACAAATCTCCAGGAAGTTCCAAACTTTCCCACATTTTTCTGCCTTCTTCTGAGCCCTCCAAACTCTTCCAACCTCTGCCTGTTACCCAGTTCCAAAGTCGCTTCCAATTTTCAGATATATTTTCAGCAATGCCCCACTCTACTGGAACCAATTTACTGTATTAGTCCATTTTCACACTGCTGATGAAGACATACCCAAGACTGGGAAGAAAAAGAGGTTTAATTGGACTTACAGTTCCACATGGCTGGGGAGGCCTCAGAATCATGGTGGGAGGTGAAAGTTACCTCTTACATCACAGCAGCAAGAGAAAATGAGGAAGAAGCAAAGTGGAAACTCATGATAAACGCACCAGATCTCATGAGACTTATTTACTATCACGAGAATAGCAGGAGAAAGCTGGCCCCCCGATTCAATTACCTCCCCCTGGGTCCCTCCCACAACATGTGGGAATTCTGGGAGATATAATTCAAGTTGAGATTTGAATGGGGACACAGCCAAACCATATCATATATGTATTATATACTGTATGCTTAGGATAAAACAAGTAGAGAAAAGAAAATGTTATTAGGAAAATCATAAGTAAAAGAAAATATAAGCCTGTAATCCCAGCACTTTGGGAGGCCGAGACGGGCGGATCACGAGGTCAGGAAATCGAGACCATCCTGGCTAACACGGTGAAACCCCGTCTCTACTAAAAAAAAATACAAAAAACTAGCCGGGCGAGGTGGCGGGCGCCTGTAGTCCCGGCTACTCGGGAGGCTGAGGCAGGAGAATGGCGGGAACCCGGGAGGCGGAGCTTGCAGTGAGCTGAGATCCCGCCACTGCACTCCAGCCTGGGCGACAGAGCGAGACTCCGTCTCAAAAAAAAAAAAAGAAAATATATTTACTGTTCATTAAGTGGACATGAATCATCATAAGGTCTTCATCCTTATCATCTTTACATTGGATAGGCTGAGGAGGAGGAGGAAAAGGAAGGACTGGTCTTGCTGTCTCAGAGGTGGCAGAGGCAGAAGAAAATCCATGTATAGGTGGACCCACACAGTTCAAACCTCTGTTGTTCAAGAATCATTGACCTTATTGAAAAAATATTTTAAAAGAGATTTTGAACAACTTGTCGTTCATGATTCTGGACACTCTACAAATTTGTTATTCAATAACTCTGATATTGTGGTCACACTATTCAAAAATATTGATTTTGGGGGTGCTGCAAGAGGAAAAGAGCATGCTAAGAAAAAGATGGGGGGATAATAGCATTACATGACCCCATGGAAACCTTTCAGAAATTAAAAAACCATGTTAACTCAATATATGTAGTTTCATCTTGAATTGGTCAGTTTAGATAGGTTGCTACAGTAACAAATAATTCCAAGATTTCAAGGATGTAAAAAACAGAAGTGTATTTCTTGCTCAAGCAGAGCCATCACTGGTCCAGGATGCTCTCCAGGGCAGCTGTCCTCCATATGTTGGCTGGGCATTCTCAGCTGCTTCAGTGTAATGGCATCTCCATCTCAACACGTACCTCCATCACTGCCAAAGCCAAAGAAAGAGAGTATGGAGAAATACACTTGCCTCCTAAATGTTTCCACCCAGATGTCCCTTCTCCTCCTGTTTCACTGGCAACACGGGTCACATGGCCGTGCTAGCTTCAGTGGAGCAGAGAACTGTCCCTCCTGTAAGATCAGAGGGAGAGGGTAAGAATCAGATGCCGTAATGTCTAACATGGGTATCTTCAAACTTCATATCAACAACATGACTCAACAAATAGTTTTCAATGTGGAAAATTTTAACTGAAATTATTGTTCTTTGTTTTAGGAAAACAAGATGCTATATCAGCTTTTTTCATTGTAACTTTTAGTAATATATTAAGTAACTGTCCATAACAGGAATGCAATATTTTAGCTATTTCAAATGTTTTCATTAGATTAAATCTAGACTAGAGAAGCAACCACCTCAAATTCATTCTAAAATAAAACATATTTTAGAAAAAAACATACTTATTTATTAAAAAAAAAAAAAGCATACACTCAAAGTCACAACCCAGTAGTCACATTTGAGTGTCAGTCCTGTCTGGTTTCCAGTTCTGATTTCACTTGCACTAGCCAAGTGATTGAATTAACCCTTGGGGGCTGCTATTTCAGAAAATCAGGGGCAATATGTCTCAAAGTTTGGCCTGATAAGCAAATTAAATAATAAAAATGAAAATGGTGTTAAATCTCTATACCAGAATGACAATTCATATATTGTTGAAAATATGTATAATTTGAAAGGTAAGACTTGGTTAAAAAATAATCTGCCCTAAAATTTAAATTCCAGATATTAATCAAAACATATGATTAGCTCTTATTATAATATCCAGTGATATGGAAAAGAGACTTGGCAGAGTTTTTGATCATGTTTAAGTATTGCTTATTTTATAGTTTTATAAGCAACCGGAAATGTCTATTTGAGTTCTTAAATAACCCTAATGAGTAGCATTTATGCAATCTCTTCCATGAGATCACTGTCATTGTTGGCTCCCAGGAAAAATCATGAGGTGGTCCAAAGTGAAAAAGTACTCAAATTAAACCCATCTGCAGATACTAACATAATAGAGCTAGCTTGGATGTAAAAGGGAAAAACAATCAGGGTTTTTACGTAATAAATCTTGTTCCAGAAATAGGAAGGGCAAGTATTCAAGTTAACTGAACTATTTGGCTTTGCATTTAATGTCCACACTATGTGAATTGTCTAGTTATATTAAAATCTCATTCTAAAACTAAATATTGGTCTAATGTTGCTATTTTTCATAAAAGATTCAAGCAAAAAGAGAGGAACAGGAGAAGGAGGAAGACAAAAAGAGGATGAGGGAAAGAAAAGAGGATGTAAAGCAGAAAGAGCAGAAGAGAAAGAAGTAAAAACGATTTGAAACGTGGTGCGTGAATCAGTTTGACAGATAAACTCCCATTCAAAGTTTATATATTTGTAATCTCATGATTAGAAATGCACAGAAATGTCTTTCCTGAGAAATAAAATTGAAAGTGTTTTCTTCTCAGAAACATTTACAACTACAAACTAGTTTACTATTACAAACTAATACGACAACAAACCAAAGAAAAAGGATCAGGGCAACAGACAACCCTATACAACTCCTTGGAATAATGTTTGCTAATTTTATTTAAGTTAAGAAAGTAATTTCTTTCCACAAAATGTCCTCTCTACCTTCCCCCAATATTTTTCCTCTGACGGACAAGACAACGTTCCAAAATAAATTTCTGGTACAGCCCTTCCAGTGTCCTTGCTTCTTAATCAAATGTGTGCTTCCAAACTGTATTTTCATTCAGCTTTATAATATGAAAATTCATCCTGTATTAATTATAAAAAAACAAATCTCTCACGTTATATTATTGTTCAAAGTTTCATTGGGAGACATCATCTTAAAAGTTGATTATCACTCAAGAAGAAAAAACATTTGCAATCTACAAATTCAATGCAATCCCTATCAAAATACTACCATCATTCTTCACAGAATTAGGAAAAAACAATTCTAAAATTCATATGGAACCAAAAAAGAGCCTTCTTAGCCAAAGCAAGACTAAGCAAAAAGAATGAATCTGGAGGCATCACACATCAAACTATACTATAAACCACAGTCACCAAAACAGCGTGGTACTGGTATAAAAATAGGTACATTGACCAATGGAACAGAATAGAGAACCCAGAAATAAACCCAAATACTTACAGCCAACTGATCTTCAACAAAGCAAACTAAAACATAAAGTGGGAAAAGGACACACTTTTCAACAAATAGTGTTGGGATAATTAGCAAGCCACATGCAAGAAAAAAGAAACCGGATCCTTGTCTCTCACCTTATACAAAAATCAACTCAAGATGGACTAAGGATTTAAACCCAAGAACTGAAAATATAAAAATTCTAGAAGATAATATTGGAAAAACCCTTCTAGACATTGGCTTAGGCAAGGATTTCATGCCCAAGAACCCAAAAGCAAATGCAATAAAAACAAAGATAAATAACTGGGACCTAATTAAAGAGCTTTTTCATGGCAAAAGGAAGTCAGCAGAATAAACAGGCAACTCACAGAGTGGGAGAAAATCTTCACAATCTATACATCTGACAAAGGACTAATATCCAGAATCTACAACAAACTCAAACAAATCAGTAAGAAAAAAACAAACAATCCTGTTGAGAATAATAAAAATTTAAGAAAAAAAAAGTAACAAATAGTCCAGACTGAACTTGGAATCCTGAAAAAGCAATGGAACATTTCTTACATATGTTTCTAATTTTGATCACCAAAATACAACAGCATCTCACTGATGAGGTACATTTTCTCTGTACCCTATATGTGGAAACTCAGTTTTGTGAAATACTTTTTGACTCATCAATTCTTTCTCCCCTTAGCATTTTTTTGTAAAAGAAAGAAACCCTACACATACCCACATACATACTCAGTAGCCAAAAATTTGATCTGGCTTTGCCAGATATCAATGTGTTTCCCATTAAAAGAGTTGGCATAAGACAGCAAACATATGGAACATACTGACTGCCTATCACCTAACAATTAAATTACTATGATTTCTCCTATGGCTACAAAGGTTTGAGGCAACCTGCAGATCCTGAAATTGAATAGTGTTATCAACCGGGCTCACCAAACAGCTTTTGCTGGCAAATAAAGCTGTGAAAAATAAACTGTAAGGACAATTTGGAACTTGAACCTGAGATGCAGCCACCCAGTGCCAGAATGGTAGTCCAGCTTGCTACTTAAAGACACACTTCCTACGAGAGGTATGACAACCCTGGGAAATGGAGCCCTAAAGTTGCCCCATGATGCAAATCATCACTAGACAATGTATTAAAACCTGATCTTTCATGAAAGAAATCTGATCGTTCATGAACGATGAAAACATTGCTTACTTTTCGCACCACTTTGAACTTAGTGGAAGTTAGAATGATGTAGTTGTTGTCCTATTTGTTTTGAGTATTAAATCTCTTTAGATTCACTGTTCTCTTATTTAGGAACAGGGTGGGCCTTACTCAAACATAACAAATATAATTTGTGGTTGACTGGGAAAATTCCCTCTGCCTCAAAATGATCTTCCCTCTAACATTTTGCTGATTCTACAAACTCCACTACAAGTCGTTGGTTCCTGCTAAGAGAAAACTATGCCCTCAGGATCTCCTTAAACGTCAATCACTGCAAGAAGGGTATCACACTGTGCTCTAAATTCTAACTAATTTGAGATTGATTTGTGAAGGAGCTTTTATTCTTTCCAATAGGGGTTAGCAAACCATGACCTGTGAGCCAGAGATGTTGGAACACAACCATGCTCATGCCTTGACTCAGCCTATGGCTGCTTTTGTGCTGCAACAGCCAAGTGGAGCTGAGTAGTTGAGGCAGAGAAGGCAAGGCCCACAAAACCCGGAAGACTTACACCTGGCCCTTTACAGAAAAAGCATACCAGTTCCTGATACAGAGCAATGGGCCTCTTGAGCACCTAGAGGCATGGACAAAATAAAGAGGAAATGGGGAAAGTGAAGTAAGAATGCTTTACCCTTGGGGGGCACTCTGCTTTTTTTTTTAAACACACCCCCACGTCTGAGCAACATTCTGCTTTTAAGAAAGGATCTTTGCATAACTAATTCTCACAATATAACCTGCAGAGATTGATATCACAGACTCTGGCACATGTAGGTGCTCAAGAAATATCTGTTGGATGCATACATTCATTCATCCAACAAATAATATATCAAGACTTATTATATGCAAGCACTATTATAGGATTTGTGAAAAGAGCAGTAAGTCAGGAAAAAGTAAATTCTACTCCCATAAGCTTTCATTCTAGTGTGGGGAGACAAAAAATCAACATGTAATTATACAAATGATTAATAATATGTTAGCACAAAGAACAGTGGAGAGGTACGATTTTACAGAGCAGTCACAGAAGGTCTCCCTAATTCCAAGACATTTGAGCAGAGACCTGTAGGAAGTGAGGGAAGTTACAGGCTACCTGAGGGAAATGCAAAGGCCCTGAGGTGGTAAGGGGCTTGGTGGGTCCCAGGAAGCCACTGTGGCTGAAATACAGTGAGGGAAGCCTCCTGGCAGGTCAGAGGTCAGATGGGGAAACAAAGCAGCAGCAGTTAGGGCCCTGAAGGCCACATAAGAAACTTGGAATTTTACTCCAAGCTATTAAAAGTTTTAAGAAAAGGAGGAGACACAACCTCACTTGCATTGAGAATAGTCCCTCTGCCTACTGTGTGGAGCACCAACTGTGGGGAGACCAAGGTAAATATCTTCATAGGGTAGACCAATTGCTATGAAATCAAACCAACAACAACAACAACACTTCTTCCACTTCCACATAGTAGGCTCTTTCTCCCTTAGGAAAAACACGTTAACAAACTTGTCTGGTTATTAAAGGTAGACCCCATATGGCGCCCCACCTTGAACATTTCCTAGAAGGCAGAGGTATAAAAAGAGAAGAGTTAAACTGGCCTTTACAATAAATTGACAAAAGTATTTTGTATTCCCTGCAAGGTAGGGAAGACACAGATTTGGGATACTCTGATGTGGGATAAAGAAGAAGATTCTGGGAGAAAGAAGTAACCTGAGCCACAGAGTTGGGGCAGGGACATCCGACAGCACCAGAGGTGGAGCTGGCCAGAGACTTTGA